CCTCAAAAACAAACTTTTTCTTTAAATTTCCGGCGCTGAGATTGGCTGTCTCATTCTGCCCATTAATTTGGGGTTTCCCTCTCCAATAGCACACAGTGTCGCTAGCACCAAAGGAATGGTCGTAACACTTGGACCAACAGGAATGCTTGCTTTCTTGTTTGCTCGCTTGCTCGTTTTCTCGCTTGCCTTTCTTGTAACTCGTTCGTTCGCATGACCTCCCACAGTTGACCGTCGTTTGAAGCTGAACCAACATGCAGGTGTGTCTGACGAACCTGGAGTCCCCACCAAACCCGCTGTGCCTGGGTTCCCTCCTGTCTTGCTCTGCCCATCTCGCACATCTCCTTGTCCTACCCTCCTACAGTTACTCCTACTTGACCCTTGCTTGGTGTCCTCTCCAAGGATCTTATCCTCATTCTCCGCAATCTCTTTACCTCTTCCCCACGATGATCCCCTTTCCCCACGATTGAAGCCATTGTCGTGTGTCTTACGAAGGCCACTCTGGATCGTACAACCAGCAAGGATAAGCGCAAAATCAACCTCGTCGAGCCTCGACGTGTCCAGCTTCATTTACTGCTCGCTCGTCGCCCTGCCGTCGGTCCTGTAGCTGCGTGCATCTCCTGCACCCCACATCGCGCCCTCAACATCGCCTTCTAACCGAGCTTCGTGGGTTGGAAAGGTACAAGTGGGACCCTGCTCCGCTCCTCGTTTCGTCGTAGCCATCATTATCCTCCTCTCTTCACTTCCCTCCACCACCACCACCACCACCTCCTCCTCCTCCTCTCTCGACATCTTTCGCCAACATGTCGCACTCCAACAAGCAGGGGTCCATCACCCTTTCCAAGCAGGAAGACCACTTTGCCACCCAGCAGCTCTCCGCCGCCGATGTCTCGTCCAAGCGTAGCTTCCGTCTTGCTTCCACCGTGGAGGACCTCCGCGAGCACTGGCGTGTCTACATTCTTGGTATCTGCGTTTCGTTCGGAGGATTGCTTTTCGGTTGGGACACCGGGCTTATCGGTGGCGTTTTGAGCATGCCTGCTTTCCAGGACGACTTTGGTCTTGTTGGTCAGCCCGCCAAGCTCGCCGCCTTGAAGGGTAACATCGTTTCGGTTCTCCAGGCCGGCTGCTTCTTTGGTGCTGCCGCCAGTTTCTACCTCCCTCACAAATTCGGTCGTCGCAACGCCATGTTCATCTCCGCCGCTGTCTTCCTTGTCGGCTCCGTCATCCAGACCGCCTGCCGCCTCGGCGGACAAAGCGCCAGCTCCGCTCTCAACCAGCTCTATGTCGGCCGTGTTATCGGTGGTTTCGGTGTCGGTCTCGCTTCGTCTGTCATCCCCATGTACCTGTCCGAGTGCGCTCCTCGTTCCATTCGTGGTCGTCTTGCCGGCATGTACCAGCTTCTCATCGTCGCCGGTATCTGTTTGGCCTACTTTGTCAACTACGGTTTGGTCCAGGAGTACCCTGACCAGAAGTCGAGCGCCATGTGGCAGATTCCTTTCGCCCTTCAGTGTCTTCCTGGTGTTCTTTTCATCGTCTCTCTCTTCTTCCAGCCCGAATCGCCACGATGGCTCGTCGAGCGAGGCAGGAATGAGGAGGCACGATCGTCGCTCGCCCGCATCAACCGCGCTTCGCTCCACGACCCCGTCGTTGTCGGTATCCTCCGCGAGATCCAGGACGACCTCCGGGGCAAGGTGGGCCTCAGCGCCCTCCAGCAGCTCAGGATGGCCTTCTCCGACAAGAAGATAACCTACCGAGTCTTCACCGGTGCTCTTTTGATGTTCTTCCAGCAACTTACGGGCACGAATTCCTTGAACTACTTTTCTCCAGCGATCTTTGCAGCCCTCGGCATCACCGGACAGTCGGCAGGACTCCTGGCCACTGGAGTGTACGGTATCGTCAAAACCGTTACTACCGGTTTGTTCCTGATCGTTGCCATCGAGCAGCTCGGCCGCAAGTGGTGTCTTATCATCGGCGGTCTTGTCCAGGTCTTCGCTCTCTTCTGGATCGGTATCTACCAGGCCATTCGACCCTCTGGCACTCCTGTCGACTTTGCTTCCTATCTGACCATCGTCATGGTCTACATTTTCGCTGTCGGTTACGGTCTTGGTTGGTCCTCGGTTACCTGGGCCGTTTCTGCCGAGGTTGCTCCTAACCAGCTTCGTGCCCTTGCCATGTCGTCCGCTACCATGAGCCAGTGGTTCTGGAACTTCGTCATCGCTCTCATCACTCCTCGTGCTCTCAACTCAATCAAGTTCGGTACCTTCATGCTCTTTGGTTCAGTCACTGCGATCGCTGTCGTCTGGGCAGCACTCTTCCTTCCCGAGTCCGGTGGTATCACCCTCGAGCTCATGCACAGGGTTTACGAGGGCAACATCATGTCCAGGTCCATCCAGGATCTTTCTCCTAAGGAGAGGAAGGTCTTCCGAGCTCGTCTTATGGCCGAGGTCGGTGACACTGCTGATGAAGACACAAGGGTTGGCGATGAAGGTCAGCACAACGCTGCTCACTTTCCCACCCTCAACAGGGATGACTCGCGCAAAAAGGCAGACGATGACATGATCAACGCTACCTATGCCAAGAGCTCTGACAACGAACACATGAGATAGACTTAGGAGGGATTGGTTTTGGAAGAATCGAAAATCTTGGTTCTTCACGATACATTTTCTATAAAAGCTGTCACCTCTACTGCATGCACGCTTGCACGCTTAGGCCCTCTTCCTCCTTGTCTGTACCCATATACCACTATACCAATCTGCTGCGCAACATTCCGCATTGTCTGGACTGGCTGTGCAGCAATGGCTCCCTTTGTTTGAGTGTCCTTTGTTCGAACATGTCAAGTTAGGCTCCCTTTGCTCCGATGTATCAGTCGTGCATGTCCTGTCTCGTTGGACATGTCCCTTTGTCCTGTCACTCTGTGCACTTTGGAGGCATGGGCGTCCTTTTCGGCTTGCCAAGTCGCTGACATCGGTGACAATGCGTATCGTCGATACAGGGGAGCCGGAGGAGGACCGTGCTCTGCGCTGCGTGTTGCGTACACAGGACAGGATGCACCTCGCCTCCTCACTTCAAAACCACCACCACAGACTCGTCAATCGTAGCCCATCTTTGACCCAAACGTCATGTCTCAAGCGTCTGGTTCGTCAACGAGATGTGCACCATCGGATGGAGAAGATAGAGAGTAGGAGGAGAACGATGGAGCCAATAACAGCGCCTGCGGTGGCTCCTTTGTTGACGCCGTTGTGTTCAGCGGCGATGGGCTGCGAGTTAGCGGTAGTTTAGATGGTGTTGATCGGCGCCGCTGTTGCTGAGGCGGATGTCGAGGAGGTAGTCACTGTTGAAGAAGCTACTATGCGAGTGGAGAGAATAGAAGGCGTAGCGCTGGGAGCAACGGTTGTGCTTGCTGCTGTCGATGCAGCAGACCCGACCCCAACACCGGCAGAGGCCGACCGTGCGCAATCACCAAACGTAAAGCTCCTATCATCGATCGACGTTACCTGCACTGGGCTCTCGTTCGAGCTTGCTGTCGTCGTCAAGATGTTCCCATTGGTATCTGTCAATCCGATACCAACCCTGTACCCTCCAGTCAATGCTGTATCACCAAACAGCGTCGTCTTGCTGTACGCCCCTGGTGTCGGGAACTCTCCAGTGTTAGAGACCAAACACAGGAGCGTGTAGTTACGAGCGCCTTGTGTCGAGATGAAGAAGAGTTCGATATACGAGGCTACGGACCATTCTGTTTGGGTGAGCGTTGCGGTCCAATCGAGTTGAGAACAGTTTATGTTGGAGACGCTAAAGTCGAGAGCGTTTGTTGGGATGGTGAGGTTGGAGAGGAGTAGCGCGCTAAGCGTGCTCAGTCGAATGAGCTTGTCATTGTCGAGCTCCTCGTGCTGGTAGGCAGCTAATATCAATGATGCTGAAAGTGTTATAGGGACGAAAGACGAAGACGGATGTGGGGAAAAGGGGGATCCACCAAGACGATCGTTGGATGAGGCTTGGCAATATAGCTTAAACAAGATCCGGACTCCATACACAGCAAAGGAGAGCAACAGAACGAGTCGAGCACAACTAAGTGGCACACAGACTGGTTCGAGTGCAGGCGGTTAAGCCATCTCGTGCGTGAAGTCTACCGCAGAATGGCCTACGCCCGCGACCTCGCTCTGCACTGCGACGCAATTCGTGCAACCATGATTGACATTGATGACGGATGACACTTTCAGACGCCTTGGGCAGCTCAGCGGAAGAATATGGCTGTTGCCTTCCCGGTTTCACAGTCCCTTAGCATGACAGTTATTGTCAGAAAATATATTTTCTGTCTCTGTTCCTGAACCCACATGCGCTTGGAGGATATATTTTCATTCAGGGTCCAGCCATTTTTTTTGGAAAGGATTTACGCCCTCGCTTACACTTCCCGGTGTTGGGCGTCGTAGCAGAATTTAAGACTCACAAAGACATTCTTTGTCCCCTGTGCGTCCACACCACACGCCCACCATCCTCTCGTTGGGGAAGAGTCGCGATGGCTGATCGGAGCAACCATGACCGCATGCTGCTATGAATGGCGCGGTACGGGGAGTTGTTTCCCCGCTGATCTACGAACGCCCAGCGAAAGGTGCTTGCTAGACGAGACATCTCGATCTGGACAGCTGTCTGGGGATAGCTGGAGTCCAAAGATCTGGATCAGATGGCGACGAGGGAGGAAAGAGCAGTATCGAATGACTTTGCGGATGGTTTCTCATAGTGATGGTTGGTCCGCATTGGGCCCTTCGCCGCGTCACTATCGCGGTGCAAACAAGTAACCAGATGAATCACCGATCATCAAGCTCTTTCTACATCTTCGATCGCGTTATTAATTGGCCGGTCATGGATGCAGCCACAGCAGAGAGCAATATGAGAGGTTGTGACCAGGAATGTCGAGAAGATCACGCATGCTTCGTTGTACGATGTCAACGAAAAGACGGGGGAAAAAACTCTGTCAAATGCAGGCCAGAAAAAAGGCAAAAAAGAAATGCATTGACGGGGACTCGAACCCCGGTCGAGTCGAATCGAGTGGATTTACACAACTGTTTGGTGTATGAGACTGGCAACGACTCATGATACCCCTACACTATCAATGCGAATGTGTCAGGGTTTTGACGTTAAAACATATACATTAGAGACACTCACAATCCAAGCACGAACTGGCCCGTTCCGACGACTTCGTCGCTTGTCTGCCCTTCATAGCGTCGATCCAGCACCCTCTGTGGTGGGTACGGGTCTTCAGACCGGCCCCTTTTATCCTTTCTTGCTCACCTGGCACACACAACACATACAGGAAGCACAAATTAATCGTAGAAGCAACAAGAACGCGCGGCACACGGATCTCAGAAGATGATCAAGCAAAGCATACACAAATATCAAAAGTAATCATGGGAGGTATCATATTCTCTATTCAGAGCATACATGGCGGTCAACAACAGGAAGGAGTGGCTGCTAGAAAAGTGTAAAGGAAATGTTTCCTACTTGCGAGCCCAATCCATGAAACTTGCTTCTTCTTCGTTACATTATATCTTCTACTTTATCGCTCGTCTAAGCCTTGTTTGCGAAACCGACACGGTTGTTGTCAGTGTCAAAGATAGCAACGACGTTCTGCAAGAACGAGTCACCGGTAATCCAAGCGTTCAAGCCCAAGTCGGAACCAGCGACGGACAAGACACACTGGCCGCTGTTGGTGGTACCGAACGAAGTAGTGGCGGCACTGAGAGTCTTGGTGTAGCTGCCATACCTGAAGGTGACCTTGGGAGGCGAGTTGCAGTTGTAGTAAGCATAAATGCTACCGTCCTGCTGGAAAGTGGGCAAGCCGAGGGTCTGGAAGAGAGTCCGAGCCTGGCTTGTGGGGGCAACGATGATGGTTGTGCCGGTGTCAACGATCGAGTCGATGCGCTGGCCGTTGACAGAGGCGGGGACCTGCCAGAAGCCCTGGTTGGAGTCAATGTTGACGTAGACAGGGGTGGATGAGTACTTGGCGGAGTTGGTGCCACCGAGGAAGAGCGAAGAGCCAGAGGTTCGGAGATCGAACTGGAACTTGCCCGAGGTGACGGCACCAGCCTGCTTAAGGCGGTAGAAGTAAGGAAGGTACTTGGAGCCAAAAGCAGCGAGCTGGGGAAGAGCCATACCCGAGATACCGGACGAACCCTCAGAGGCGTCGATGAAGGTGGTGGTGGAAGCACCGATAGCAGTGTTGGTAGCGCTCAAACCACCGATGTGAACAGTGTCAGTGTAGATGGTACCCTTAGCAGTGGTGCCGTCACCATAAGCAGTGCTGAACTGGTCACCGTTGGTGCGGGAAGTGGAAGAGGCAGAGGGGTTGAAGGTACCCTTGTTCACAAGAGTGTCGGAGGAACCAGTATCAAAGTCGATGGAAAAGCTCTGAGCAGGAGTACCGTAAGCCATGGTACCAGTCCAGAGTTCACCGCCCTCCTGGTCAGTGAGAGCGACGGAACCAGTGGCACGCTTCTTGAGCTCGGCAGGGAGGTCGAGCTTGAGAGGGTGGACCTTGCCGGTGTTCTTCTCAAAGTTGGCGAGATTCTTGGAGTACTTGGCGCGGAGGCTGTTCATGTGAGCGTCGACCTTGGACCAGTCGATCTGGTCGGTACCGGCGATCTTTAGGTTGAAACGCTTAGCGATGTCGATGTTGATACCGCGCTCCTCCTTGTCAACGGGAGCCGCGATGGCGAATGCCGAACTAGCGATGAGACCAGCGACAAAAGAGAGCTTGAGCTGCATTTTGGTGGGAAGGTGTAAGGGTGGGGGCTTTGGAAGGGGTTCTAGGAGGGTATCAAGGTCCGAAGAAGACTAGGAATGCTATGTGAGGAGAGGAGAAGGGATGGGGATAGATGAGGATTCGATTCAGAAGTAGCATCTTTCAGGCTGCCTTTATAGTTATCGACAACATCTTGCTGATACAAGAAAGTGTATGCCTGCAACACCGTCTCTGTAGTCTGCCCGTGTGTGGCAGCTGCCAAGCTCTGCTATCTCCCATCGAAGGTCTGAAAGCCTAGTAGCTTGTCGCTTGAGCCTTTCCTGCAGGCCTGCAAACGAACATTAGCTCCAATCACAGCACTCGGAAGCCAATGCACCGAATGAAAACAACCCCTGTTGGAGCAAGCTTGAGCGTTAGGGCAGCAGCAAGGCCAGTGCTGTGCTTTGTCGCAGTGTTGGTGCGGCGATGGATGTATAGGCGAGACGAGACGAGAAGAAAGGTGAAGGGAATCGGCTTTCTTTCCCCAAAAGGCAACACGCGAGGCAAGGGAAGCAACAAGGGTAGGGTCTGAGAGGAACAACCGAGCTAGAGCTCGTCTCGGTTACCAAAACCTGTGAGAAAGAAAGCGGTCATCCGAGGGTTGGAAGTAGAAAGGCCGCTTTCAATGGCGCCGATGCCGTCGGCGCACCTCATCTTGAGCGCTTCTCGATGCGCAGATTAGCTCGGAGTGTGAACTTCCTTACTTCGTTTGTTGTCTAGGTGGAGGTGTTGTCGGTAGATACTGATTTGTATGGTTCTCAGCGCAAGATACCGATGACACCATCAAAGCCTAAGTTGCGCTTTTGCTCCCTCTAGTGTGGTCAGCACGGCTGATAAAGTGACCGTCAACACAGTCCTTGATCGATGTTTGATGCACTTTCCTGGACGTGTCGGAGTTAGTTGAAGATACGTCGGAAATTTTCAAGGGTTTATCCAGAATGCCGACCGGGCGAAGCTGGTGAAAGCAAACACCGCTTATTCACGAGCTGACTGAGGCACGTGAAATGCATCAAGGTTGACATGGCAACGGCTCAGGAGCTCTGCAGGAGACACTCGACTCATCTAAGACAGTCCAACGTTCTCAGAGATGGTGTGAAGATATATATATATATATACTCATGTTGGTAACCTTAGTCCACTTGAATACAACAAGCTTTGCAGTTGCTACACACCTGTGCGAAGAGAGCCTCATCGTGACCTCAACGAAGTGGTGCATACATTTCAACTGAGTTGCAATCAACTCGAGCTAAAAGGCATCGCTGTCGTCGAGGCCCAACAATCTGCTGCAACTCTGTTGCAATCGTGTTCGTCCGTGGATGCTGCACCCTCAAGATACAACTGGTCCGCTCATTCGCTGTGATTGGTTGCTTCTCCGCCGTCCGCCCTCGATGGGGTTGTCATCCGATTTGCTCTCAGAGATGGTGATGAGGGCGATAGAAAGCTGCACGATCACGTCGAGAAACGGCTCACCATCTTCCGTTCGTTGCAACCTTGTTCCCCTCGGCTTGATCAACTGCCGCCCTTTGATGCCAATGTTGCCGCCCGCAGGCTCATTTGCTTTTCCATCCGCAGGTTGCTTCCTCTTTCACTCGCCAAGCTGATCTGAAGGCAAATCCTTAATCACAAACCCGTATCCCATGACAATGGGACGCTAATGTACCTTCTCACTCCGCTGCGCAGATTCAGAAGTGCACCTGCCGACCATGCACTCCATCGTATCATCTTATCTCGTCGTCTCAAGATAACCTAACCTTCCCTCATATCAGCATCTGCTGCGACGTCATGTTCACCTTCCAACCGACGCCCACCAACATCCGCCGGCTGCAAGACCGCTCGGATTGGCCATATCCGCAAGCCGTCAAAAGCGAAAGTATTGCGACGTTGAAAGTGTTTGCGTAGGATCACATCGAGTGCTTGGACTGTCGCCAACATTAGACTGCAAAGCAGCTGACCCCTCAGAAAAGCCTTCTACTGCAGACATTTGAGAGACAAGGCTTAGAAACTGCAGTCGAGTCTGATATGGGCAAGAGACATTGTTTGCTCTGACAGGGCGACCCTTGAGAACCGAGTGCTTCGCTGAACTAAACCGGGCATGTTTCTCACCATGTTTCTCACCATGGTAAATGATCTTTCAGACCGTCTTCCACTGCCACGAGTGCATGACCAGCAACCGGCATGAACTTGGTACCAGCGCAAAAATTGCCGCTCATATCTCAGATCTTCCAACCAGTTGCATCCGAGAATCATCCACCCTCTCCTGCCATGAATCTCGGTCCTTCTCCGTTCCATCAATCGATCATCGAGCACAACCTTTGCAACTCCCTCCCATCTACTCTATTCAAACCTTAATCTTGGTCGCCATACACCATCTCACGGCACCTGATCTCACCAAATCAAAGGGTATCATGCAGACCGGGAAAATGCCGAAGGCTGTTCGGCCGTGACGGCGGTTGCTTGCGGTATCACGTCTTCCGCCGGCCTTGCTTCCCAAGATGGAAGGTTGAGAAAAGAAACCCGTCCTCACAGCCGAGAGGGAGATAGGAAAAAGGACGCTAGTGCGTTAAGCGAGCATCAGCCGCTTCCCTCTCTCAACCGCGGTCAGCTCAGTTTTTATGGTCCCCACGAGTGACCTCGCTAGCCCACTGCTACGGACCTCGCCGAGCATCACATAAATTTGGTACAGACAGAGTTCTGAAAGCCTGAGCTTGAGTTTACTACCAGTGTCGATCGTGAGCAAAGAAGGGTGGAGAGATTGAGCGGCGGCAGGGTATCTCCAAATCCCGTATTCCGAACTCTCATCCTTCGCTTAACGCAGAGAACAGTCTCTTGCTGCTCGGATGGTAGAATTGATAGAAAACAGGCGAGTTCATGGCGCGCAGAGACTCAGTTGCCGCGGCGATCAACGGTGCTATCATCTGACTTCAGGGTTCCCCCAACCCTCTCTTACCCATCTGTCTTCCGAATGTGACCTTCCGACCGCGTCTCGGGGCTCAGTATCGCGCTGTTCTATATCGAGCGTCACTCACTCTCATGCCCAAATAGCGAGATGGGAGTTGGTTGATCGAGTTGGAATGCTGACCCCAATCTCGGGGAACAGTCTTCCGTTCGGCTCTCAAGCTGTTGCTGCTGACGCTGCTGCATTGTTCCTAAGCTAGTGAAATGCAACCGATGCACACAGCTGATCATCGCATTCATGTCTCAGTTCGTACCCCAATTTTTCAACCACACTAGAGCTGCTAGATAAAGTGCATGGGTTAGGGTTAGTTTCACTTGGTCGCCAACTAGAATGTCTGATTTGATTTGGATTGGTAGGCGATCGTCGATGCGATCGGGTGA